TATATATATGCATTTACATACAGCTCATATAGACACTGGGGTAGCAGTGCCTGTGGTCACTCATCTGTGGAACAGGACAATTTGTCCCATAATGAGAGACCTTTTAGATTTTGGCATAAAAAGAACCAGGCACAGAAAAGGCTACATATGTAGAAAGGAATGCAGAGTGACTTATAGGAAGTTATGACTGAAACAACAGTTGGCTCAATACATGGTATACACTGAAGTACTGTAATGCTTGTAGGTCCTCACCTGTTAAATTTCACATGGAGATTGGTACATTGTTAGAGCATCTCTGCACATTTTGATTACATAACACAGTCACATTAACAGCTACATTTTGACTGACATTTTTATATGATATGTATGACTGTGATAAACGGAAGTTAAAAAATGAAATTGCTGCATGTGTGTCTGTGTATGTGTGCACTGCTGAGCTCTGCAGAGATGTTTTTAAAAAAAAAAAAAAATTATGTACCAAATCTCCCTGTGAAATGCACCTGGTGACAAGACGGTGTAATTGATATATATATATATATTGAATTTCAGCTTGAAGCATACTGATTTGAACCCTTAAGAAGGAAAAAAAAACCATGAAAAAAACAAAAAATAAAAACATCAAATATCTTTGTGCTCATTAAATTAGGAAAGGTTCCACTTTCAAGTCAGAAGCAAACTTATCACTCCTTCACATATTTCTATCCAGTGAAAACTGGCAAGAATCCAGTAGTAGATACACACTTGTGTAAATATGGTAGGTGCAATCAAGTTACAAAAAACCCCTTGATTAAAATTTGACTGAGCCTTATTTACGAGTTGAAAGAATTAACTGTTGAAATGTTGTGGGTTGTTTGGTAAATAAAGATTGAATTAGTGATACACAAAAACAGTATTCAGTGTACTCACATAGCTCTAATGACCAGTGATAATCGTGGATATGATGTCACGTTAGTTTGTGAGTGAAGCTGATGAGTGCTCAAGTTTAGGATTCACAGTGAAATTACAGTTTTGTGAGTGGAGTGGTGAGAACAAAACTTTCATGGAAGGAAGAGGGGAACATGGAGAGACCCTGTCAAATTTAAATCAAGTATGGTTGATGCTATTTTTTTCTTTAAATGATTAGACTCATGGAACTGTGGTTGCACCTAGCATTACTCTCTTAAGGATGAAACACTATTATAATCAGAGGTGTAGTCCAGAGTCATGCCCAACATTTTGTTTCTCCAAGACAGGAAATAAAACATCCACTTAGCTTAATCATTCAAAATATAGCTGTCACTTTAAGAGTTTTAGTTAAAAGACAACAAAGTAATTGGTCAACAATGTCATCTTGACATCTAGGGCCAGATTTAGTAACGACCTGTGCCATCACAAAACCTTCTTTTGAGGTCAGAAAGGCTCTGCTAGAGTTTACCAAAGAGACACAGTGTCAGTTTTGTGACTGAAAGCACCAGAGCAAATTACCGTGATGATGCGTTCACTAAAATGTGCTCATGGGAAAGAAAGCTTTGGGTGATCTAACCGTACCCTAAATTACATACATTACAATAATTACATTCATTTCAATAATTACACGCCAAGAGCAAATTAGGGCTTCAGAAACTAGCAGTCAGATATGTTCATAACCCTGAGAATAAATGTGTGAAAAGTGGTGCAAAATTCACCACAGATTACATGAGGGAGATAGGCAAGTTTGAGAGAGAGCGGGCAACTATCAAACAGACAGTACGGAAACTTAAGAAGACATATCCAGAAAGGAAAGAGCTGTAAGCAGCATGTAAGAACTGATTAAGGGGATTAGACAGATGAGTTTTATGTTACTAAGGTCAGGCTGGCATCACTATTGCTCAGTTGTAGTTGAATAATGTAAATTTGCTTCTGCAGTGAAAAAGCTTTTGTCGTGACCGATGCACAATGTTACTTAGACAAATAGGACTACACCTTTGATTATGATGTATTGGAAAATCGATATGCAGTAGAAGGTTGCGTGATATTTGAATGAATAGATCTTTGTCGAAGTGGTAATCATACTTTAAAAACACTGTTAACTGCAGCCAATTCAGATTGCTCAGCAGTCTGTTCTTTACTACGCAGAGATGTACTGCGTTGATAGTCTGGTCATAGGGAACTGCAGGTCGCCGTTGCTGTGAGCTACATTCCCATTGTGCTCGCTAAATTTGGGGTTTTTAAAGTTGTAGTGGCGCATTTTGGTGTTCTTGTAGTAGACTGAGTAGATTAAGAGGAAGACAATGGTGATGGCTACAACTGCAAGAGCCACAAATCCAGCGATGAGAGGGAGGTAGTCCTCTGCAATGAAGACAGTCAAACAGGAAACACTTCAGTGTGCAACAATAGAAATGTAAAAGTTTTACTCTATATGTAACTCTACTATTTAAATAGGTCAGCAAATACACATACAAAATAAAAGCTAAAGTATAAGATGTGCAGTAGTAGTAGTAATACCGGTGAAGTTTGAAAGCATTTTAGGTGAGAAGTTATAGATCATATTCACCCAGAAATTGTGGGATTGGAAATAAAATAATAAAATATCAATAAGATTTAATGCTATAGAATTCCTTAAATGTCCATTCAAAGTAATGTTTTCAGCAACAGAAACGGAAGGAAAACTGTAACAAATGTATTATGGTTATTGTTATGGTTATTATGTTACTATGATGGTGTTAGAAACATCACATGCACAAATCATTACCCATTCCCTAATGTCACCAGCAGCAGTGAACCAGTGCATACTGCAAAATCCATAGACTGTATTTATACTGTATTTAAAGAGAGCATTTCTTTTTACCATGACTGTAAGACAGACATAACCCCATTGGTTTAAAAGTGAAGCTGGTGCAGATATACCTTCGACATTGTAGATTTTATAATCTCAGTTAGTAGTTTCAAGTTTTATTTAATACAGTTTTATTTACAGGGGGGATATTTTGCAAATTATGCTTACATAAAATAGGAAATTTTGTAGGACATAGCTCTTGTGACTGATAAGTCACTGCCATATGAGTGTGCAGTTTCCTCTTTTTTAGAGTCAGATATGCCTCTATTTTGGAAACAGCCAAAATAGAGGCAGATGTTCAGTGAATGACTTCAAGATGTGACTTCAAAAAAACAGGCCCTTTAAGAGGATGGATGACTGTGAATCAGGAAGTACTACTAATCAGAAACAGTGCCAAGTCCCTCCAGTCTGCATGTTGAAGGATTTAATAAAAAGCATTGTTGTCATGACAATAATGGACCTAGAGCTTTGAGGGTTTTGAGGAGTCACCTGGAGACCTCTTCCTGTTAAAAGGGAGTTTTTCCTTCCCCCTGTCACCAAAGTGCTTGCTCATATGGGGTTATATGATTGTTTTTTTTTCTCTGTATGTATTATTGTAGGGTCTACCTTACAATACAAAGTGCCTTAAGGCGACTGTTGTTGTGATTTAGCGCTGTATAAATAAATTTGAACTGAATTGAATTGAAACTGAAGTTTTTTTTTCCAAGTTTATTGCTTATATTTGATTTTTATATTCCTTAGTATTTATTTCAGCTCCTTTTCATTTCTATTAGTATTCTGCCTAGGGTTTATTTTGTAAATTTTGTTGTGGTATTTTCATAGCCTTCTCCCCTTCTGTGTTATATTTAAGAATGTTAGGTTCTTTAGTCACAGATAAGAACCTAGAAATGGAACTCACTCAATTTTTACTTTCCCTACCTAGTTCACCATTTTTCTTGTTACCTAGTTGTTTCCACTGCCCTCGTGAATCCACTGTAGTCCTCATGTAAAGAGCCGTGACTTTTTAATAAAACATCTAGGGCAGTCTTATATTTTTATTGTCTTGGCTAACAGTAGTGGAACCCTCTGATTGTTTAGCTTTAAGTTCATCCAGAAACACATACATGTAAAAATGTATAGAAAAGGTGCATAAGGTGAAAAATCTGTGTGTTAAAAGTGTGTTACCTTTTAGAATCACTTCAACCACATGTGATGCAGAACCAACGTCATTGCTGGCAGTGCAGTTGTAGATGCCCGGCTCAGACACAGTGAGGTTTCCTTTAGAAACATTCACATGGGACTCTGGGTTGTAGTGCCACTGGATCTTTGGGATTGGGTAACCTTCTGCTTCACAAACAAGCTCCTCAGAGTAGCCTCTGAACACGGGGATTTCTTTTGGAAGCTTTGTGGTATTAATTTTGGGCTTATCTGTTGTGACACAAAGGTAAACAGAATAATGTCAAACACTGAGTATTCAAGCAATACCACCCAAAATAAACAAATATGCTGTTTAAAACTCATCCGTACACCAATGTTAAGAATAGTAAATGGAAATGGAAAGAGTGAATAGCACAAATATCTGCAACAAGGTTAAAGCAGGGTGTCTCTGTTTTGTAATTACATTATCTTTACCTTCATATTGTTATAGATAATGATGGATTTAGTCTTTTAATTACATGCTGTAATCTATATGCACTAGCAAGATTATTGTTTGACTTTAAAGATGTGCTATGCCTGGAGCAGTTGACTATATAAGGAAATCTTTCATAAACTGATATGACAGTGACACAATAGAAAGACAAATTTTAGAAATCTGATGTTCAGAGCAAAGAGTCAAATAGTGTACTTTTAAATATCTTTACATCTTTGTCTGAACATTTCACTACCTTTAACATAAACACTTAAGAGAGTAACAGTATATGTTCAACATAACAAAAGGAATGGTAGCTTCCCCTAATTGGGAAAAGTGAATATGAAGTGGGATCTTACACAGGACAGTGATCTTAAGGGTGCTGGATGTTGTAGTCGGAAGAGGATTTAATCTCAGGTTTAGCCGAGCCTCACATCTGAACACCGCTTCGTCGTCTTTCCTTTGCAGGTTGACATTAATTGTGGCAGAAACATTTACCGGGGATCTGACATCACTGAGTTTGCAGGTTTTGTTGTTTTCAAGCTGACAGCCAGTTTCTTTCAGTATGTCTGACAGAAAATAAGAAAATAAAAAGACAAAAGCTGACATTTCTACTTGTTTATGTATGAGCGGGAGACACAACAGAAGTTAAGCATAACTTACAGTACTGTGAGAAGATCTTGAGCCACTCCTTATTTCTTTATATTTAGTTTATAAGAAGCAATGAGTTTTAAAGCGGTCTTGAACAATAGTTCTACTACAGACTTTGTGAAGGTCTTTTAAAGGCTTTTTCTTTTGCTATTGGCTACTTTTTTCACTCATTTTCAGTTAACTCATTGTAATATGACCACTTTGTTAAACATCTTAACACTAGCTGATGAACCACTCAACCATATTAAAGACACCTAACTGAAGGGATGAACTAGTGTTGTGTGTACACATAGCAGAAAACCTATACAAGAATCACTTTTTAATTAGATCTTAAGGCACTTTGTTTTTTCTATATAAGTGCACTGGTTGGTTTAACTAACATTTACAGGTTTATCATCCATTTAATGTTCGCTGAAGCCTCATCAGAAGTCGTCTCAATGGAAAGTTGGCCGTTGAGAAACAATTCTTTGTCACATTTAGTGCTGTGTGCCAGCCAAGACGAAGACCCAAACGCAGGACTTGAACAACGGGATGATCAAAGGAAAGTATTCCATAAAATAAACTTGAAAAAACCAAATCAAAACTTGAACATGGAAACTAAGAACTAAACACTGGGGAGCTAGAAAACTGTAGCTGGAAGGTAACTGGAAACTAGAGGAGGAGCCGACGGAGCCGACGGAGACGACGGAGCCGACGGAGACGACGGAGACGACGGAGACGACGGAGACGACGGAGACGACGGAGACGACGGAGACGACGGAGACGACGGAGACGACGTGCACAGAAGCCACATGCAGCACATGGGATAATGACATGACAACAGGCAGAGGAAAACACAGGGCTTAAATACAAAAATGGATAACGAGGGAATTAGACACAGGAGGAGAGCACAGCTGGGAGTAATCACACATAATGAGACGGGCAGGAAGACAAACTGAAAACATTAACAAAGGACGTGAGAGTTTCAAAGTAAAACAGGAAACAAGAAACTTTCACAAAAACACAGACTTGACACTGAGACATGATGACATGACTGACTGAGGAAAAACAGGGGATGCATGAAAATGCATGAACCTGGAGACAAGAATAACAAACTGAGACAGAACTAAACGAACATGATAGACTATGCAGGGAGGACTTTGAACAAATGATTAAACCAGGAAGAATGAGGAAACTAAACAATACTAAAATGGGAACATAAGGAAACTAGAAGCACTGGGTCATAGACCCAGTAACATGACATTCTTAATGAAGTGAAACAAGGAGGAAAGGCTCATGCATGTCAAATTACATGAGAACTGGACTGAAAATCAGAGGCAAGATGTCTTATAGATTGATGAACTCAAATTGGATCCTTTTGATTTAAATCATCATTATTATATATGGTGGAGGTGAAGGTAGCGTAATTTTCTCTTTCTATGATCAATCTTTCTTTTGCATCCAGTGGCGTTGTCCACTGCTGGACACTAGAAAGACTCTCAAAGCACTGTATTGTGTTGTATAAGTCTCACACAGTACGTCTATAATATTTACAGAAAAGCTCCTCACCTTGATTTTTGTACCACAACACAGTGACGTTTTGTGCTGGAGCGATGCTGACAATGTCACACCGCAGCTGGAACTCTTTGCCCTCTTCCACAGAGCTCAAGCGATGCACGTGGTAAATGGAAACACTGTCTGGTTTTTCTACAGTGGAGAGTTGTTGGGAGAGGAAAGAGCAGAGTAACACAATTTAAGATTCAAATTTGAAGGCAGCAAAAGTATGAAAATTGTTGTGAATAGAGGTGGAAAGTAACAAAGCACAAATAATTCTCAGGTATCTGTACTTTGCTTGAGTGTTCAATACTGAGTATTTTTCTGACAGCTGTCTATACTTTCCATTCCTTATGTTTTCAAAACAACCTTGTTACGTTTGGTTTAACACATTCAAGTTGAAATATTATTTCACATCACTTTGCGCTTTTAAACATTAAATCAATTTGATCCTAAACTGTAATACACAAAAGGCATACTAATAGTGGATAAAGTGGGCAGGTGTTTTGCTGAATCTCTCTTTAACCTCTGACTGTGTTTCATGTTTATGTGTGGAGGCAAAGTTATCCTCTACAATGTAGGAAACAGAAGATAGAGCTCTTTCAAAAAATCTTTTTTTCCTATGCTCATTACTGAGTCATGCTGAGAACAATCATTAGAATAAAATTTAGACTGAAATAACGGAAGACTGAAAATATTCTATTCCCATATACTACAATTTTATTACATTAATATAGCACAAGGTACTACTCAATACATTCTTACTTTGAGTACATTCTGACTCTGTACCTTTTCCCATTTACTTTAGTAAAGAAGTTTAAAACAGTGCTTTTACCAGAGTATTTTTTTTAACACAAGGATGTGTAGTTCTACTCAAGTACAGGATGTCTGTATTTTTGCCAGTTCGGGTTGAGAACACTTACTGTAAAGAGTAAAGTTCAATGATTTTTGGCATTTTCCTATTCCTTGAAATGTTGCAGTGCAAACTGGCGTCATCCCCCAGTCTTCATTGGTGTTAGTAAACCAAGTCATATTATCAGATTCTACACCCTCCCAGTACATTCTCTTGACATTTGTGGAGATGGCGGATGTTGAGCTGCACGTTGCACCCTGCGCTCTGCTTCTGTACTCAAGCACCATTGGATTTGGAGTTATTTCAAGTGGGCATTCTTGCTCAGCACCTGCAGAAGGAAGGGTGGGAGTGAGAAATGTTATTTCAGTCCAAATCTACATTCCTTCATTACAATAATGCAAGATTTCCACATCCAGCACTGTAGTGAAATGAAAGGAAAGGTCTTTAAGCTGTTTCTTTGGAGGCAACAGGAAAAGATCCCAGGAAGGATACACCCCTCCCTAGCTCAAAGAATTATTTGGGGTGGACTGCACCCTGCAACACATATCAGTTAAATGTGTCACATTTACTTAGCCAAATTACTCTTAATATAAGGTAAAATGTGATCTGAACTGAGGTATATATATTTTTTATCAGCAAGTCAAACAGCAGTTTTTAAAAATTCTCAAAAACTGAACCAATAACCATGCTTCATTTAAAATCACTTACATCACCCTTCTTCCCCATTTGGTTTGAACAACACATCAGTAGTGGTAATGGTGAGAAGCTGTAAATTGATACTTCTCGATTTAGACTCAAAAGCCAAAAAGCGTGCGGATCAGCTGGTTTTTATTAATGCTCTCATATTACACACAATCCATGATACTTTATCACTCTTTCCAGGACATTATCTAAGCAGGCTATAATTGGTAGATCGATTATGTTGCATACTGCATACTGCAGTTCACCTACCTATAACTGTCACTTTGATTGTTCTGGAAATTCTTCCCTTGTTGTTCCATGCATGGCACGTGTAGGTACCCATGTTGTATGCAGTAGCGCTGTGAATCTCCAAACGGGATACTCCATCTTCATTTTCCTCCATCACATTGTCAGTCTGGTAATAATTCCAGGTATACGTTGGTCGTGGGTTTCCACTGGAAGAGCACTTCAGCTCCACAGTGGAACCAATGTGGACTTCAAGGTCTTGAAGCTCAAATATCTCTGATGGTTGATCTAAAGACAATAATTTCATTTAAGACAAAAAGGAGTAAAATATACGTATGTAATCACTCTCGCTTGACGTGTGTCTGAAAGACTTACAGTGAACAATAATTTCCACAGTGGCGTTAACGTTTGACTGATTGTTTGAAGCTGTGATCAAGTAATGTCCTGCATCAAGTCTCGTCAACGTCTTTGGAAGTTCCACCACCTCATCATCTCTGTACCAGACCGTGACAGGTTCAGGAAAGCCCTCAACAGTACAGGTGAGATTGTGAGGAGTATGTTCCTCTGCCATGTAAATGCTTGGGCAGTTCAACTCTGGTCCGTCTGAAAAGGAAAGGACAAAGGAAAAGGACAAACACTCAGTGTGGTCCTCCCTGGGTTTGGGACCCTTGGTTTTGAGTTTTTTGTTATTCTTCCCTTGTATTTACAATTCTTGTTTATCTTCTGCTTTATATAGGCTCTTCATGGTTTATATTTCAGTCTTGCTGTTTGAGTCTTCTGTTCTTAACTTTGTTACTCTCAGCTTGTCCTTTAGTTAGTTCCCTTGTTGTTTCCATTCATGTCATCTTTCTGCTTTGTCTTTTTTTTTGCCTTCCTACACTGTCTTGTCCTACTCCCTTTCCCTTTTGTCATGTTAACCCTCTTCACCTTCTTGTATTACATTGTATATTGTCTGAGTCTCTCCTTGTTCTTTGTTGCTTTGACCCTCATAGTTGTTTGTCTTCCAGTTCTGTAATGCCCTGAGAATATTTATTTCCCAATTATTTATGGCTTTTGGATTGTCTGGCATGGTTTCCTTGTTTTTCCTGAACTTTGGTCTTTCTGTGTTTTCTTTGGTCTAGTCAGCATTAAAAGTCTTGCTTCGAGTCAAGGTCCTGCCTCCTGCATTTATGTCCACAATATCCTCCCACACAGCTGAGTATGACACTGAGTTTTTGTCCTTCAAAGGAATTTATCTGCTGGAAGACAGAGATACTGCTCCAGTCACAGTTTGGCCTGACTGACACTAACCAGAACTAAGAGAAACATTTTAAGAGATCATTCTTGAATATTCATCCCAGCATGTGAACAGATAAAGTGACAGTCCGGAGACTTTCACCTGATTAAGTAGCCAGGCTTCCTTTGAAATCCAATGCTCTTGTTTCCCAAGACTCTGTTTAAAACCTTTAAACCTGCGTACTGTGTTCTAAGTTTGAGTCATTTGATTAAAACAGTGACAGCTACTCTCAGTTAGGACTTGAGCACTTCTTCCACTTTGTGCATCCAGCAATTTCTGCTATTTTTAAATGTATAATGTTCAAATGTAGTATTACTTTTGTTAGTTTGTCATAAAAGTGGATGTGACACTCACATAACACATGAACCTGGATGTTCTTTTGGACAGAGAGCAAGCCATTAGCTTCAAGTGTGTACATCCCTGCATTTTCCCTTCTCATCGGAGTGGTTGAGTTGAAGGGTTGTCCATCTTTCAGCCATTTAACCGAGGGGGTGGGATTTCCTGCTATATTGCAATTCTCCTCCAAAGATTCATTTTCCATTAGCTCAATAATATTGGAACACTGTACATCTGGTCCAACTGAAAAGAAGCAAAAGCACCAACCATATGTTACAATGTAATGTTTTATCCTTCTTTCAGACATATGCCATCTTGCCAGGTAAACATAATAGTCACAAATACTATCTGAGACAGAATTGTATTTTATGTGAATATACAAACAAACAAGCTCAAACTTACAGACAACTGTAATAGTAAGCTCCTGTGATGATACATTCAAATGTGGTCCTACTGGGCTCAGGTCCATCTGTGCCTCACATCTGAACCTGGCACCGCTGTCGTTTCGAGTTGGTGTAAACGGGAAGGTAGATAAAAGTTTCACTGGTTGTTTAGTATTTTTTAAGTTATTTGGTTCAATGATTTCTAAGACATCTGATTCAATGATTCTGTCTCCATTGTACCACTTTACAGTAAGATTTTGGACTGGTGCTATTTTGGGGATTTCACAAGTAATGTTATATTCCTCCCCTTCTACCATCATACCATTGGAGTCAGCGGTGGAGTTGATTTGGATTTTTTCTGGAAATGCTGAGAAAAAGAAAGGAGTTATTAGATACCAGAGTTATTAGAGTTATCATAATATAATTGTGATAATATACGCACAACAACCAGGACTTACTGTAAACAACGATGTTCAGATTTTTCTGGCACTGCTCATTAGTGTTAATAAAGCATAAAGCAGAGATGCCCCATTCTGTTAAACTCTCCACATTCCAGGGCAAATGGTTGACCTCTGTAATCCCTATCCCTCCAACTGAAGCCTCCCAACCCATTGCACCATGGCTCACTGTTGTGGTGCAGTTGACTGAAACTGGGTCTCCATACCGCACCACGACACTGGAGGGGCTCAACTCAATGGGACATGAGGCACCTACACCTGCAGCATAGAAATATTATATATATTTAGATGCTTCACATTGTTTTTGTTTTGTAGTAAAACTAAAATGTAGGATCGACAAATCAAACCAAATATACTAGTCAAAAAGGAAATGCAAGTTTGTGCTCTAGGCATATTTTATAGACCAACACTACGACATATGTATATACAATCAGGCTAATATGTGTAATAGGATGTGTCTGGATATGCTTCTGATCTAGAAAGTCCTGCATTCCTCTGGTTGTGTTGGGTCAGGCAATGCCCTGCTGAAACAGCTGCAGAGCTATTTTAGCTACTGCAAGAACAGCACATGTACTGGTCATCTCAGCACCTCTGTGCAGTCAGATTTTTGACAAGAACAACCAGGTTAGAGATGATGCTCTCATGGACACGTAAGGCTCCAGCAAACCAACATGCCAACAGCCTAGCCGCAGCCCATCACAGTTACTCACAGCGTAGTTTCACTGATAGAAATGTTGCGCATGCAGAACAGTGAAGAGGACTTCAGTAGTGTTTTTAGGAAGAGTTTTAGGCCAATCAGATGCTTTCCAGGTGGTACTGCAAGATGGTACTTTTCTGCATTTGTAATTCAATCCCTTTTGACAAAGTTACCAACACCAAAGACTGAAACGTAGTCCTATACCACGACAAAACCTCCACCATACTGTTGTACCTTTCAGATGCCCTCTTCAATACGTATGACTATTTGCACTTCATAACACCTGTTGGCACTATTTCAGTCCATTTCTTGTGTAATTTGGCACACCTCAGTCTTTTCTATCCATTTCCCTTCCTGAAGAATGGTTTGTTGACAGCCAGCCTTCCACTGAGACAATTTCTGATGAGACACAGGTCAACTGAAGCCAAATGCATCGCTCAGGCCACAGTGGACACTGTGCAGATATATACCAAGTTTTCAGCTATTAGCTCTTTGGGAATCGCCTTGTTGATGCAAATAAACAAAGCTAACAAGTCGACTTATAATTCATCTGTTTAATTGACATTGCTTTAAAATGAAGGTTGAATGGGTTTTTTGTTTGTTAAACTCCTGTTTCCTCCTCTACTCTCTCCTTGTTCCTTCTCCTGTCCTATCTCTTGTGCGAAAGACTAAGTGAACAATGTAAGGAGACTCATCAAGGATGCACAAATTAAGAAATCAGAAAAGGAAGTGTATGGACTCTCCCTCTTTGTTGGAGGGAAGTGGAAAACTAGTCACCCTATGGACCTGTAGTGTTTTACAGATTTTTGCTGTAGTAAAATAACTTTCTGTAAGACATTAAGACCTTAAAAAAACACAAGTAAAAAAGCATATTAAATGTCTCACTAAACAACAAAATACAATAAAAAAGGCAGATGAAGTCAAACAAGCAAATTAGCAATTTGGGGGGATCTACCACCTCCTCCTGTGTGTTTCTTTGCTTTGCTCACTAATACCTGTATTTGAGTTTCTTCCCTCCACCGTTTGCTTGCTTGCTCACCATGGATAAAATAAATCATTAAACAACACATATTTTTCCTGGAAGCTGACTTCATTTGCCTGTGTACATTCCTTTCCCATGGTGAGTCAGTCTTTTGACAATGAGTTTGATAATCTCCCCCCTTTTTTTAGTCAGTGCACTAACTGAACAAAAAATATGTCAGTGAATATTCTCACCAGATAAGACTTTTCTTTTATCAAGCCCTTGTTTTGATATATTTTCCTGTTAAGCAGAAAAGAGCTTTTTTAAAGGATTTGTCTTTCACCGTACCCCCCACATTGTTATTCAGGAGGACTCGTGTAGAAACAAGATTATCATAATGCCAAAGAGTGTTTTTTTTACACAGCCACACTTCCCTAAATGATAACAATGTAAGCAAGAGGTTGATGGTGCCATACAGTCCATGACCTCACGGTGAACAATGAACCCTTAAGAAGACAACACCTTTAAAGGGGAAAAGAAGTTGTTGTACAAATCAAACCTTTTAATAGAAAGAAATTATTGATTAATCTGAAGCCTTATTGCGGTATTCTTCCATGTTCTCCCAATTCCAAAAAAAGACATATTTAAAAAATATATACTTAATGGAAAGTGAAAGGAAAGAACAACACACAGCTGCCTATACATTTAACTACATCAATCCAATAAACCACTAATGAACATTCAGAGTCACAGCCAGTGCCAGCAAGTTGAAATTGCTGTTGCATAAATAGCCTTAACTCACATCTAAGAAGACTGGATTTCACATAATAAGTGTTCATTTGAGGGGAAAAGATTTGGTTCAGATTTCACCTCTTTTCTCCCTGGGTACTTTTACACATTCTTTCACAAAATCTGGGAAACTATCCAACATTTGTTTTTCATTTCTTTTATTTTCTCTCTCTTTTACACACGGCAATCTATCGCACCCTTCTGGTTAAATTAAATCCTGCACCTGGGGCATGTCACAGCTTTAGCTGCTGTTGTTTTACTAATCACGCCAATGACTCTTTCTCTAACACGAATATGGCTTCACATTTATGCTTGATCCGTATAGACCTTGTGGGTAATGAAAATAAAATAATAAATAAATAACAAAAATAAATAAAAACAAGTCTTGGCCACTGAGAAAAAGACATCATATGACAAAATTACACCAAACATGCATTATAAATCTCGAAGACCGTCATTTTAGCAATGAAAATGAGAGCATCTTACCTGCCGCAATGAGAAGGAGCCCCACTGACAGCTGAACAAATAATCTACTTTGACTCATTTGAGTTGCCTTACTCAAGAATGACCCCTCAGTCATTTGTTACTCCTCTGCTCAGCTTCCCCTGTTGGACTGTGCAGCTCCGAGCTGTCGTGAATAAGTACAAGCAGACTCCTATCTCTCTCTCCCTCTCTTGCTCTTTCTCTCTTACCACTTTCACTGCACAGTTAGTAATTTGCATGCGGGGGGCGATATTTCTGTTTTTCATGAGTCAGGCTATGTTACACAGTCTGATGTTTGCACTGTTAACTATTGTAGGTCTTGAGTAAGGTATTTACAGACATTAATAGCTTTAAATAATCTTTTTGTCCATTTAACACAATTTGATATTTGCTGTGAAAACTTTAATTCATGATATTATATTCATAAAAACACATAAAAATGGATTTAGACCGTTGACCTTTAGACAAATAATACAAAAAAAATCTGTTTAGGTCATTTACACTTCCTCTTTCCATAAGTCTGTAAATTTAGACATCCTGTCTTTTCTTTAGAACTGTGGGAAAACCCCCTGAAAAAGCATAAATGTGATTATTTTTGGAAAGTTTTACACTTTAAAAGAATGGAAAATGTGCAAAAATAAAGGATGAATTAAAATACTGTATATGCGACTTCACTGTTGCATATACAGTTACATTTTACTACTAAAACAACAACAAAATTACCCAAACCCTCTAAATCAGCTGAAGAGTGAAGATTGTTTTGGTTGTTGGCTGTTAGCCGTCGTTTTGCCCACACATACACATGCACAGACACATCTTAAGGTCACCAGCACATAGATTCACACCCACGCACCATCGGCTCTGTTGCTCTGTGTTTTCATAATTTAGACCAAATGTTTAAAGACCAAAACTGGACCATTTTTTGTCCCTTCTGGTTGAATTTTTACACCAAATTGATTCATTCAGAAATGAAATATGTATCATATGGTTTATGTATTGGGATTGGGGTTTTTTTTGTTCGTTTGCTTTTGATTCATTATCATCTTAACATCAGAGAAAAGGAATGTGCCCATTTTGGATTGTTGATTAAGAACATGTTATGGCACAAAAGAAGCCAATATTAAAAACTGGAATTTCCCAGATTTCACTTTCAGTTAGATTTTTGTGTATGTGTGTGGTGTCTGTGTGGCACAGTCTGGAAATGTGGGATACTCCCAGATAAGCATGTGATTTTCTAGAAACTGAAAGAAAGTTGTCCTGTCACACTAAAGGAATGGATGTAGGAATCATTTCTGAGTCAGTTTAAGGTGATGAACTCTTTTGGGATGCATCCCCTGCATTAAATAACAAATCACAGCAAGAACAGTGAATCTGTGGGAGGCTTTAAAAGCAAGTAATCACATCCTCCTTGTGCTCTTGGGACCCACAGAAATGTTTAATAGGAACAAGAACAATATGTTTTTGGTTAAGGGCAAGTGAGAAAAAGCAGCTATGTGCAGCAAGTTGTCTTTTAATCCAGTGTAGGTCAAAGGTTATTTGAAAGGTCCATTAGGTTGAAGCAGAAAAGATAGAGGATATCCAAGAAGGAATGCTCTGAAAGACAAACAACACACTCCAGTGAAGAAAACAAGCATTGAAATTCCAGTCATGCTGCAGAAAAAGCAAGCAAGGATTACACCCCCCTCTGTCTTCTTTTTTCTCTCTACTGGAGGTTTATACACATATCAGACTTAAAAGGCTGCTATTAAAATTTCACTGGACTAATACTGGTCTCATTCCAGCTTGATTCTCTTGACAAATGGTGTGTGTTTCCCAGCAACAAAGTCCATTTGAAATCCAAGCTAAGTGCTGCCAAACCTAACAGAAATGTTCAAACGTTTGTGCGGTTCACTTACATTTCATGAAGCCACGCTGTGATCGCTATCAGTTTCATTTACCGTAATAAGGGTACTTCCTGTTCAAATCTAAGAATGTGCAGGAACCACATTCATCAGCTGGCCTTGAAGGATTTCAAGGACACTGAGATTAACTGGACTCGGGCGTTTACTAGAATAAATCACAGAGCAATTAGTGGCGTGACAAATGTTCGCGAGGCTGATGTGACAATGTTGGCCTTTTTACTACAGCTTGTTATAAAAAGAATGAATTTTCCAGTGACAAAAGGGAAGTGTCCGTTCAAATTTGACAAAGTCCTAAGGAAAAAGGCACTTGACTGTATCCTGCAGTTTTAATGCCAGTCCTGTACTAACACCCAGGAACTGATCATATATCTTACCACTGACAAGATGGCATTGTTCTGTTAGAGAGAAATTCCATCAGTTCTTTTGGAGACCAGATGCACTTTCCTCACCCCGTTATAAAACCGAGCAAGCAACCAGTGTCCATCGACTTCATTTGTGAAAACACAGAAAAACAACAGAGACATTCACAGTGCAACAATATCTCCATTTACTTACTGAAGCTCGGCTTATTGTAACGTGATCTTGGAAGATTCATGAGTCTAACAGAGGACCCTCTGTGTCCACAGATTCCTTGTTTCTCTGCTGGCATTTTCTTCTTTGGCATTTTCTTTACTTTGTGCAAGACACATTGCATCAGTGTCAGGGAGACTGGGCAGACAAAATTCCCTAAAATTCTTTGTTACACACATAACATCAGATATGCCCTATCCTGACTGCGGTATAGAGTAATTTTATCTTTCCTGCTGGGAAATTCATGATTAAGTCAAACAGCAGCTTACTCATCTTGTATCCAGTGTGGAAAATTCTTCCTAACTTTATCAGAATCTCAAAGCAATTTCTGACTAATTCTTACAACTTGTATTTGAGAATTAATTTGTCACTGGAGGAAGCAGTTTGTCACTGTTTCCACTTTGGTTTTAATACGCTTGATTTCTGTGCAAACTTCACTCTTCACAAACTGCCCTACGAAAGTTACAGTTTTTTATAGACGGTAGGACACATTTCTCAATACTTAGGTCACTTTTGCAAAACTCCTCACACAGTGAGCACAACAGAAGTCTATGTGGGCTAAACTGAGGATCAGTTATCATTGTTTTGGCACAAAATGCATTCAATGACTACATCTCTCAAATTTCATGAATTATTTTCTCA